TTTATTAATGATTCATAGACATTACAAAGTCACATTTTGAGGTATATATTTGCAAATTTGCAAATCATTTAAAAGTTCTATCTTATTCAGTTCAATTTGCATGTTATTAATACTTGTTCATGAATATTATATTTTAGGTTTATTTATGTTCCATGCCCACACACAAAAGAAGTTCTATGTGATACTTTGCTTGAGTGTATGATGGACTGGAAGATTGATAGAAAGATCTCTACTGTTACTGTTGATAATTGCTCTACAAATGATGTCATGATTACTATGTTGATAGATAAGTTGAGTAATACATCACTTTTGTTAGGTGATACTTTGTTTTCATATGTGTTGTTGTGTTTGTATTTTGAATTTGATTGTAAAAGATGGACTGGATGTCATACAAGTGGGTGTGGAGAAAATTTAGGAGAGTGTAGCTTATTGGACAGTAACACCAAAAAGACAAGAAAAATTTGAAAAAACAGTCAATCAATTACGTAATCCACATACTAAGAAATTAGGACTTGATTGTGCAACTAGGTGGAATTCAACCTACTTGATGCTTCAGACTGCCTCATTGTATAAGGATGTATTTTTTCTATTGAAAAATAGAGAGCCTCAATATAAGACCGTGCCAAGTGAGGAAGAATGGAAGCTTGCCAGAGAGATTAGTGAGAGGTTTAAGATATTTTTTTTCTATCACAAAGTTATTTTCTGGTACTAAGTATCTCACAGCCAATGTTTGTTTCCTAACTTTATGTGAGATTAAGATGACAATGTCTCAATGGCTCTCTTGTGAAATTGAAGTGATTAGAATAATGGCATCAAAAATGGTGAAAGATTTTGATAAATATTGGTTAGTGAAATATGATGTTATTGGAGTTGTTATTGTACTTGATCCTAGCTATAAGATGAGTGTATTGGAGTTTTATTATGAAAAACATTATGGAGACAAAGTTGAAGATGAAGTTGATAGGGTTTGTCAGATTTGTTGCAAGAGTATCAACACCAAGTTGGTATGGAGATCGATGTTGTTAGTGACTCTTTTATTTATCCAAAAATTGTTACAAAGACCATTTTAGAATATTATTTGTTTATTAGTAGAAAAATAAGTAAAAAAATGAAAAATGTAAGATTAGAATTGGACCATTATCTAGAAGATGGTATTTTGCCAAGAACTTCAGGTTTTGATGTTTTGAATTGGTGGAAAGTCAATGGACCAAAGTATCTGAGCTTACAAGCAATAGGTAGGGATATTTTAGCTATTCATGTATCTATTGTTGCTTTTGAGTCAGCATTTAGTACTTAGTGGAAGATTGGTGAGTCCACATCATAGTAGACTTCATCCAAACACATTAGAAGCATTAATGTGTGCACAAAGTTGGTTGTGGGGTGCAGAGATGAAAGGTACTTATATTATTATTTTATCAAATCTACATATTATTATTTCACTTTTATATTACCATGGAATTTCAATACTGAATTTATATTCTTTACTTTTTAGGAAATTCAATATTGAAATCAGTGGGCTATGCGACTATGTATGATGATGATGAGATCGACTCGGATGAATCGTACGTCACTTTTGTGTTAGTTGTCATCTTTTTTGTTTTAATTGTTAACATTTTTTACATCTTATTATTAGTATTGATTATTTATTTTTTTCCTTTTGTTATTTAACAAGAATTCAAGTTGAAAGCGATGATGAAAGTTGTGGTGCGGTTATGTCAGAGTATCGGAGAAACAAAATTTTTATTTTTTTTTTCACAACAGGTTTGGTTTTTTATATTGTAATGGATTTTTTTTTGTTTTTTTTTTGGTAGCCTATCCCTTGTAGGCTGTGCTTGGGACTAATTATTCTCTTTGCAACTTGCTCAATTTTCCTTTATGTGGGCTGCTGGATGGAATATACTATTTGAATATGTTGACAGATATGCCTATAATAAACCATTTTCCAACAATTATTTCATCAAATCTACATATTATTATTTCACTTTTATATTACCATAGAATAATTTCAATACTGAATTTATATTCTTTACTTTTTAGGAAATTTAATATTGAAATCGGTGGGCTATGCGACTATATATGATGATGATGAGATCGACTCGGATGAGTCGTACGCCACTTTTGTGTTAGTTGTCATCTTTTTTGTTTTAATTGTTAATATTTTTTACATCTTATTATTAGTATTGATTATTTATTTTTTTCCTTTTGTTATTTAACAAGAATTCAAGTTGAAAGCGATGATGAAAGTTGTGGTGCGGTTATGTCAGAGTATCGGAGAAACAAAATTTTTATTTTTTTTTTCACAACAGGTTTGGTTTTTTATATTGTAATGGATTTTTTTTTGTTTTTTTTTTGGTAGCCTATCCCTTGTAGGCTGTGCTTGGGACTAATTATTCTCTTTGCAACTTGCTCAATTTTCCTTTATGGGGCTGCTGGATGGAATATACTATTTGAATATGTTGACAGATATGTTATTGACAGATTGCCATCCCTATTGACAGATATGCTATTTGAATATGTTGAAATTATGTTGACAGATATGCTATTTGAATATGTTAAAAATATGTTGACAAATATGCTATTGAGTAGACCTTGAATATGTTATTTGAATATCTTTTGTATGAAGCTTGAATAGGATATATTGACAGATATACTATTTTTTAATTTAAAGATATATTATTTACAAAATCACTGTGAATTTGAAGATATGTTATTTTTGAATTTGAATTTGAAGATATTTAGAGATCACTGCTAATCTTTCATTTGAATCAAAAAAAAAAAAAAAATCCAATATGCTACTGTAATTCGGGGATTTTTTGGAGTTGGAGATACTCGATTCCCGTTAGGGGACGGGGGCGGCGATGGGCTCCTCGCTGGGGATCAAGGGCTGGGATGAAGAATTTATCACTTTCAAGAATCAGGAACAAGAAATGTAGTCCCCAACCCTGCCCTACTGCCATGAGTGTAGTCTCCGCCCCGTCCCATTGTTATTTCTAGGTGAAAGAACCAATTCATACAAGTGTATCATGAGTCCAAATAAACTAACAACATGGTACAGTCCCTAACACAAGCCAGATCCTAAAGTAAAATATTCATTACTCCCAATGTGAATAGAGAAAGATGTGCAACAAACATACAATAATAAAATTTAAAAAAATTTCTCCCTTCTTATATTATAATGATTTGAGATTAATCTCGCAATAATATAATTTTATTAATTTTATCTTTAAAATAGTGTAATTATTTTCAAAACAACATGAATAATTCTAAGTAAATTATATAATTATGATTATCAAATTAACAAATTTTTTTTATTGAAAATTTATTTACAATACAAAAGTTGAATTCAACCGAACTGAATTTTTCTCTCATGAAATAAAAGCCACATCCTAAAAAATATTAGTTGAGAAAGAGAGTCATGCCAAAGAAAAGAAAAGAAGGGGGTTTCATGTTTCTTATGCATTATTTTCACAAAAAGTTCATAAAAAAGGGGGTTAAAAATTGAGAGTTACTTCTTTTCTTTTTTTTTAATTTAAAAAAAATAAAAATAACAGGGGAGTGATTGAGAGAGATGATGAAGCAACATGCAAGTTAGTTGCAAGGGGGCGGTTAAAAAAGAGGGAGAATTTTCTGAAGGGTTGGTGGTGGGGCCAAAGCCTTATTTACGCAGTGGGGAAAGAAAAGCCATCGAGAAAGTGGATGACCACACGTGCACACAACACTAATCGAGCTTTCTCGGTAACCAAACAATAATTAACCACCCACCACCCCACCCCCAAAATTAATTACATTAAACCATCATACTATTCAATTATTATATATTTTAACAGTTGTGGTCCCCTTGTTAGGACAAAACTACCCTTTGGATTTAGCAAATTAATAATATATGAAAATTGATATTCCTTCATAATTTTTCATAGAAGATTTAATATCAGAATTATATGATAATGATATTTTATAGTATTTATAACTATTTTTCTTTTCACATTCTTTATTTAATTTAAAGTAAAAAATTAAATACATTTATATTTAAAAAAATAAATGATATTTGCAGTATGCATAAAATTTTATATTTTAAGTTAAATAAGTTTTGTCAAATGAATCATAAACGGGGCAATTATTGCATGCGTTATACAATTTCAATGTCATCAATTGTTGTGTTGTTTATTACATTAGTCAAATAGGATTGTGATGATCTTTTTTAATTTGAACTAATTATAAATTTATATTTATATTTCATACTCATTATATATATAATGAAAATTCTCATTACCTATATGGATTGGAGAGAATTAAAGTTCAATAAAATAATAATAATAATTATTATAAAAAACACACTTTAGTTTTGATGTTTGTTTTTTAGAACAAGGAATAGAATATCTCATATTTATAGTATAAAACCTACCGTTATGATGATTCAACAACATACATAAATTCAATATCAACAAACACAATATTGACAGAAAAAAAGTCCTATCATTTAAAAAAAGAAAAAGAAAGAACTTCATAATAAACAAAAAATAATTACAATAATATTTTTTTGAACAAAAATTGACATATTGAAATCACAATTAAAAATATATAAGACAGACAAAACTAACCAATTTGATTTCAAAATTAATATGAAATCAGGATTCGATTTTGAGTTTAAGTTGTAACAAAGTAATTTCTTATGAATTCTTTAATTTCGGCATGATTAACCTATTATTAATTAGACTGGAGAAGAAATTAATACGCATAATTTTATCTAAAAACATAAATCTCAATATATCTACCCACCTTACACAACCTAGCTAACCACATTAAAAATGGAATGCTCATTTGGTGTGAGTGAGCATTTACAAACAAGAAGGTAAATCATTCAATGTACAAGTGTTTCAGGTGGGCCAAATAACTATCCTGCTCTACTACCAACATTCATTTCAACACAAGGGTATTCAAATAATTTCACCTATCACGCTCCTCATTACAAAATCATAGTACTTATATTTATTCCCCTACAAAAACCATAGCCTAAAAATCATAATAATCGAGAAATCAAAGTCCTTCCCGTGTTTGACCTCAAAATCGATAGTTACATCATCTTGTAAAAAGAATTTTTTTTGATATATAAATAAATGAGCATTGAGGTTTCTCTGATTTTCTGTTTCATTTTCCGACTCGAGATTTCGATTTTCTCGAGAAAGTTGCAGGCTTTTCTCGATCGGAAATGAAACGAAAGAACGATTGTTAGTGAAAATTAGGTTAATTTTTTTGACTGAGAAAAACAGAGAGATGAGAGGTGCGAGCAACAACACTCTGGATACTATAAGCGCTGCTGCGACTGCGATCGCATCAGCTGAGAATCGTGTGCCTCAAGCTCCAATTCAGGTAAACAATTCAATTCGACTCATTCAATTATTTGTTTTTGTATTGATTGGACTTTGAATCTATTGAGTTTCGAATTTTGATTGGCTCTGTGAAATCTGATTCATTGGATTCGAGATCTGGTGATTATATGTGATCATTGTCAGTTGATCGATTTCACTTTGTTTGATTGTAGTTTTTGGAAATTATGATTCTTTTAATGCTTTCTATTTGTCTTTTTCGCTGCGCTGCGATGTTGTTTTTGTATTGTTCTATTCGGTCATCGATAGTTGACCTGTGATTCTGAGCAAGTCCATGGTTTTAGCTTGCGTTGGATCTGAAGTTGCAGTTCTTTGAGGTTTTTGTGTGGTTACCATTGTGTTACTTCATGGAAGATTGAATCTTTATTATGATTTCTGTTGTAGTTTCTCATGATGATGGATCGAGCTGCTTAATTTCCAAATTTCGTATGAAAATCTTGTTTATTTTACAATAGAAAGATTTATTGATTCGCTCCAATCTTGTAGAGTTGATTGTTTCTGGTACATCATTCTGTTATTAAATTTGAAATTCAGTTTTTTTTTTTTTGGCTTTGTTCTGGCTTAGCAAGAGGACTGGCCCTTACTCAGATTGAGAAAGATGAGCTTGAGGATTACTTTGTCAAGAAAAAGAAGATCAGTTTTTGAGTTGATCATGGTTGTCATGAATTCAGTATATGTATTGTTTAACTATAAGTTTATAACCCTTCTATGCTTTCTGCACATCATTTATAGGATGTGCTTTTGTGCAAACCTTATTTATTTTTTTATTTGATATTAGTAATTTAGTTATTATCTTGATCAATATTGTGCAATTGTAGGTTATAGCCATTTGGTTGATTTTCTTACCCCTTTCTTTTTGTTTGCTGTGGAGGTGTGGAAACTTGTGGGCATTTTCTCTAATAGGGATGGTTAAAAATAAATGAAAACAAAAAATCAGCTTTAACTGACCTAGATAAAAATTTACCATTAAGTTCTTTAACATTTGGACCATAGGAAAAGTTTATTAACACAAATCAAGTATTCAAAAGTTACTATCTAGTAATCAACTCTATATTTTAGAGTAATTTGTTAAGAGGCTTGACTGATTAACCAACCATTAGTTCACAAATTGATAGGCAACCACTCCAGTAGATGGGTTGTCGCTTTTTTTTTTTGGGGAATGGTTTGTTGCACACAAATCATGACTTTGCTCAATCTGACTCTATGAGGACTAATTCGTGGACCATACTAAAGCTAATATCTTTGAGACTTTGATCAATATCTCTGAAACAAGAGCAAACTGAGCGTGCAAAACAGAAGTCGACTTGATTACTATCAAAATTGAGCTAGTGTAGCCCCCAGCATTAAACTAAAATAAGGCATGTGGTGCTTGGTCTAAGTTATTGGGCATGGCACTAGTGTCAACCGTAAGTATTCAAGTCAAAAGAATCTTTGGACCAGAAGATGCAAAATTGCGTCCTTTTTTTTAACAGGGTTTAGGGTTTAAGCATTCACAAAGAAAGGAGTATATTTGACCAGCACACCCACTCAAAGAAATCAAATGTCATATATCTGCGTCTTTGACTTTAACTAATTCCTCCCTACTTTAATTTTATTTACCATTGTCCAAGTCAAAGAAACAATTTAGAAACATGAAAATTGCCCTAACTACATCCAGTTTGGATAAAATCAATGTTTTTTCACACAAATGGTATCTCATTATTATTGCTCAGTATCCATAAAACCCTAAACAAACTGGCTTCCTATTCTAGAAGTCACTTTGTGATTTTTGTATCTTGTTCTTCCCTACCTATCCATGCAGAAGTTGTGTATGAGGAGGAGGAACTGACTAAAAAGGTAAAAAGTACCAAAAAAAGGAACCAGAAACAAAGGAGTGACTTAACCGAGGGAAATAGCACCAATATTAAGAACCCCTGAGGACAGACAGGCGCAGACACAGACACACATGTATACAGACAGCTCCAACATTCTGCAGTGTCCTGAACAATTCTACAACATGGCATGCACTGCTGAAAAACTAGCATATCCAGAATATAGACATGAAATTGTCACTGAAACTCCTAGTGATAAGTTTTTTTTTTTAGTAATAATCATTATTAAAAATGTAATTGGACATTAACTTTATACATAAAAGAACAGAAAAAGTTAGAAATCTTGCAGGCAGTCTGCAGAGAATGCTTGGTTTCTGAAATGGGAAGAATTACAGAGCATTGCTATAAATAATCAAACCTGTACTGTCCTATCAGATGATCTTAGATCACATCCAACTGACCTTTTAACTGGTGAATTATTGTTTCTTTTTCTAAATTGAAAAAGGTCTGTGGTCTGTATAGTGCAGAAGCTAAAACAACATGTATGTGATATCAATCATCATTGAATAATTTGCTCACATGCCCTCAGTTAACTTCTAATGTACAGAGGCATGTATGAAGTGCTGTTTGTGTATTTGATAGTAGAGCCCATAGAGGCATTGCAAGTGTTTGATAGCATGTGTCCCATTCCTTGATTTTTCTACAATGCAATGCTTACCTTGTTTTGGTAATTAAAATAGCTAGAACGGCATGGCTAAATCATGGCTTTGTAGTTGCATAACATTTAACTTGATTATTATGAGATAGTGTTTGTTTTATCATCTCATATGCCATGTGTGATAAATCTAAAACTGATAAGCACTTATTCCAGAAGCTTACTGTGTAATATTATGATGCAATATTAGTCTTTTAAGTTCCTGCTATGACAAAGAATTCTAGAATTGCTTCCTATTGTAAAATTATAAGTTCTCATAATCTTTGGTCCAATGCAGAAAAGAAGATGGGGAAGCTGCTGGAGCATATACTGGTGTTTTGGATCTCACAAGCACAGGAAGCAGGTTGGACACGCTTCTCTTGTTCCTGAAACAACAGCCCCACGAACAGAGGTTCCTGCCGCTGAAAATCCAACCCCATCACCTTCTATAGTACTTCCCTTCATTGCACCTCCCTCCTCTCCTGCGTCTTTCCTTCAGTCTGAACCTCCTTCTTGTACACAATCACCAGCTGGCTTACTATCCCTCACCTCTATATCTGCCAGTATGTACTCCCCCGGTCCCGCCTCCATTTTTGCTGTTGGACCTTATGCCCATGAGACCCAGTTAGTCTCACCCCCAGTCTTCTCTACCTTCACCACCGAACCATCCACTGCTCCTTTTACTCCCCCTCCTGAGTCTGTCCAGTTGACTACACCTTCCTCACCTGAAGTGCCATTTGCTCGGCTTCTCGACCCCAATCACCAAAATGGTGAATCTGGTCAGAGATTCCCGTTTTCCCAATATGAATTCCATTCTTATCAACTTTATCCTGGAAGCCCTGTTGGCCACTTGATCTCACCCAGTTCAGGTATCTCTGGTTCAGGCACCTCATCGCCTTTTCCTGATCGTGAATTCACTCCTGGTGGTCCCCAGTTCCTTCAGTTTCGAATTGGCAATCCTCCCAAGCTTTTGAACATTGACAAGTTGTCTGCCCATGAATGGGGGTCCCGGCAAGGATCTGGTTCATTGACCCCCGATGCTGTGAGACCTAGATCTCGAGACAGTTTTCTTCTAAATCGACAAAATTCCGACATTGCACCACTCACAAATTCATTCAATGGATACCGAAATGACGAAGCTGCAATTAATCATAGAGTATCTTTTGAGATTACAGCTGAAGATGTTGTCAGATGCATTGCAAAGGAGTCATCATTGGCCAAGATTGTATCACCATCTGTAGAGAACGCAGAAGTTCTTGCTGAAAAGGATGAAAAATCAACAGAGGCGGCCTCTAGTCTTGATGGCCATCTCAGTGAAATATCAGACGACACGACGATGACAGAGAAATCTTCTGCAGATGGGGAGGATGGGCAGCGGCCTCAGAAACACCGGTCCATTACCCTCGGTTCTATTAAGGAATTCAATTTTGACAACGCAGATGGAGGACAATCTGATAGGCCCGCTATTGGTTCTGACTGGTGGGCCACTGAGAAAGTACTTGGCAAGGAGGGTGGTAAGAACTGGTCCTTCTTTCCTATGCTGCCAGGTGTCAGCTAACCAGCATCACAAAAGGGTCTCGCGGCTTGGTTTTGATTTTGCGATCCCAACTGGTAAGCATGTTTCTTGACAATTGTTTAGTCGAAAATTATGTGGAAATTGGGATTGTATACATGAAGACTGTTTTAGAGCACTTCATCACCTGGAAAAAGATGGGGGGAAAATGTTTTGTTAGGGTTAGTATGCATAGTGCACCTTCTTTTCCTTTCCTTTCTTTTCTTTTCTTTTCTTTTCTTTTCTTTAGGCAGAAGGATATATAAACTAATTGCAGTCTTAAATTTTCGCCATTGTCCTTTTGGGTCTGTAAAATAGATAATAGATTAGAAAAAACAGTGGTAACAACAATGCCTCTGATGATGACAATGATGATGAGCTTTTGGAGGCTCTTTTTTGCAAATTGAATAATGCCATTGTTAGAACTTATCAAGTATGTTCCTTTTGTCTCACGTCTATCCCATTCTATAAAAATCTTCTGTGCACGTAAGCTTCATGTTCTGTTATCTCATTTCTAGCCACAACAATTGGAGGTTGTGAGTTCCTCATATTTGTGAAATTTGTAGGAAAGGAGTCTCTAACTTCAAGAGCTTAAGATCATAGCGTCTATGTTGCCAATTACATAGATACATATATATATATATATAGCTATTTTGGGGGTTTGGATTCTACTATTATATCATGACGCTAAAAAAAAATCACCTTTCAGGTTTTTGATTATTTGAAGTGGGTGGCTTGTTATTATTTATGTAGAAATAGAATGAGTTTATAAAGATCGAACATGTAGGATTTCAATGGCTATGATCATGCCATTGTGGCCCAGTTTGTAGGTCAACCACCCAGTGGTGCTAACTAACATGTTTTGGACCATATTACACATCATGATCATTATAAATAAAGGATTGCTTCTTGTTACCAAACTACCATTCAATCCCTATCTATTCAAAATATAATAATAATAATAAAATTGGCACCCAAACTCCTCCATTGTGATTTTTTTATTTTTTCTTTTTGCTGGGTCCTCCATTGTATTTTAGCTTGTAGTCTTTGTGTCTTAGTTGTGAATTTTCCTTTATTTATTTATTTTTATTCTTGGGTGTGCTAAAAACTAATCACTCACTCATAATCTAATTGATCAAACCCACCCTTATTAAATGTTGTATTTGAGTTTTATGGTTGATAGTGTAACTTTTCTTTTCCTATTCTCCTCCTATCGATCCTAAACAATGTATTAGGATAAATGACATTTTGCCCCCCATAAATTTCATACTTTTCCCACTTTGGCCTTCGATTTTTTTCTTCTCATCACTTTGGTCCTTATCATTTTTAATTGGAAAATGTTGTAGACCCTAAATAATGTATCAATTTTTCACCAAACCTCTCACATGGATGTGTGATTTTCACAAATCCATATGTGTGTGGATCCCACACCCATGTGAGAGATTTGGTAGAAAATTTGGTAGATTATTTGAAATCTCTAGTATAACTCTTTTTAATTTTTTCTAGTTTGTTCCTAAAATCAATTTTTGTCCAATTTTATATAGGAAATAACACATTAACTGTCATGTGGCATAAATTACATTATATTAAAATTTTGGGAGGCATAGCTATTTACATGGCATTTTTTCAAAATTTAAACGGAAGTTAGTTATGATAGTAAAATCAAAAAAAAAAATTACAAAAATGATAAAAGGTTAAAGTAGAAAAAAAAAAATAATTATAAGAAAAAATTACAAAGCTTAATCAATATGAAGTCCATTTTCTATTTTACAATAACAAATGGGAGAGAGCATAGATCTCCCTTTCGGGACACACTGAGTTTGTTTGTGATGTGAGTTAGTTTTTTAATTTTTTAGTTATTTTAGTTTGTGTTTAAAAAGTCTTGTTTGAGGTAAATGTTTTGAATTTTTTGACTTTTATGAGAGAAAAAATAAAATAGTTATGATTTTGATGTGATATTTTATTTTATTAGATTAAAAAGTTTATTTTATCTTTTTATGATTAAAATAGTCAAAAAATTAAAAAATTCGACATGCCAAACGAAGGCTAGTAAGATTTTTTACTCATTATTAATTGATGGTTTAAATTTAGGGCTTGACTTTTTAATTTAGGAGAATATTTGGGTTTAGTATGATTATTTTATGATTGATTTCGACAATCCAAACTATTTATATTTAAAGACTTATTGAGGAGAATATTTATTTAAAAAATCAAAATAATTATTAAAATTATATTTGTCGTTTATTTTTTAAAATAAATATGATTCAAACATATGTACGTTTGAATTAAGAGTGAATTACACTAACAGTCCTTGTAGTTTGGGTCTCGTGTCACGTTGGTCTTTAACTTTTCAATTGTGACATATTTGATCCTGAATTTTGAATCTTGTTCCAAATAAAGACAATTAAAGATATTATTATTTAATTTCAAGGGCAAAATCATCAATCTGATAAAATATAAATTAATTTGACCAAAAAAAATGTCAAAAAAAATATTTTTACATTTTTAAAAATTATTTCTATCTATCAAAGATAAAATTATATAAAATTGATAAATCTTTTAGACATTTATTTATTTATTTTATCAAATTAATTTTTATTTTATGTTTGGATGATGATCATGTAATGGATAGTTGTTAAATTTTTAATGTGTAATTGATATAATTAATATATTAAATGTTTTTAGTTTTAGATTTTTTTTTATTTAATAGATTGGTTTCATAATGATATCAAAGTTGTCACCATATTTGACTTTTGAAAAAATAGATTTAATGAAAACAAAAACAATCACTTATTACATGATTATCGTTCAAACATATAATAAAAAATAATTTGGTAAAAATAAATAAATAAATGCCTAAAAGATTTATCAATTTTACATAATGTTATCTGTAGTGGGTAGAAATAATTTTTAAAAATTCAAAAATATTTTTTTGACATTTATTTTTGTGAAATTAGTTTATATTTTATGAAATTGACGATTTTGTCCTTGAAAAATTCAATGATATCTTCAATTGTCTTTATTTGGAACAAGATTCAAAATTCAGAATTAAATGTGTCACAATTGAAAATTCAATGACCAAAATGACACAAGCCCCAAACTATAGAAACCATTAGTGTAATTTACCCTTGAATTAAATTTGTATTATAAAAAATAGATGACTATTCTTAAAATTATATTTGTCATCCATTTTTTAAATATATGATTCAAACATATAACTACCAATATCCAATCATTATGATTTTTTATAGAAATATTTTACTTAATGAGTCCTTAAATGTAAATGGTTCGAATCATCGAAATTAGTTCTAAAAGAAACTTATCAAACCCAAATATTCTCTCAAATTAAGATTCCAAACCAAACCCTTAAATTTATTATATATGTAGACTCACACAACATTAAAAAAAGTTTTTGGGTTTGGAGCTAGCAAGCTAAAATAGTTACAAAAAGATAAAATATACTTAAAAAATTAATAAAATAAAACGTCACATTCAAATTATAATTATTTTATTTTATTTTTCATAAAAATCAAACGAATCATTTTATCTTTTTAATTTTTTAAACTTTCTTTAAAAAAAAAACGTGTACAAAATATAAAAAAATAATTTAACTCAAAATAAATTAAAAAAATTGAAAAATGACTTTTAAAAAGTCAATCTACATTTCAAATGAAGCCTCAATTTTCACCTTGCATTCATACTCTAGCTAGACATTTAGGCTTTACTCCTAATAATTATAAAACTAAATTCTAGAAATTATAGACTTTTTTTTTTTTTTTTCGATTCATAAGAAACTATAGGCTTTTGAGGGAAATTATTCAATACTTCCGGAGTATCACGTGTCCATACTCCAAACCAATCACTAATTAGTTTGCTCCATATTGTCCCCCCATCTCCAACATAAATCGTGGGCCCTTGTGTCTCTCCACCAATCAAAACCTTATGGAGCACCACGTGTCCATACTCCGACAGTACTGAATAATCACCCAACTTTTGAACACAAAACCTTCACATTTTGAAGTCAAATGTTGACAATCTCATCCAGTATGTTACATTTCTATGCAATATATATAAGGCATGGATGCAAAGTGAACAGTATTTTCAGTCAAGTATGAACAGTGTTTTTTGAATGGTTGAATAGTCGATTTTGCCCTTGTTTTGTATAGCTTTGCTCCTTTAGATGCGAGGGTATTGATGAAAAACTGACTTCAAAATTTGTTTGCTTACAGCGGTTCCTCCCTTCTTTTTCCAACGGTGATCTCCCTCCGTTGACCACAATATTCGACCACCTCCTCTCTCCTCTCACCGATCTCCTTCCTCCTCTCTCCTCTCACCGATCCCCTCTCTCCTCTCTTCTTTGGCGACCGCCGATGACATCTCCTCTATGGTGGCGATTTGTTTGATTTTGTGGGTATTCATAGTGTTCACCAGCGAATCAAACGGAAATTGAGCCCAAGGATGGAAGAATACGACAGAAGCTTCTATTAAGGTAAAGACATAGATGAAGAATGTTATGTATTTCGATTTTGGGTTCCTTTTGATGCAGTTAGGGTTTGTAAAGTGTTTTAATTTTCTTCGGTTCTGTTAATTTCTTAGGGTTTTGTTCTTTTATTATTGTTTCCTGTGCGTATATTTTGTGCCGCTTTGTTTGATTTTGGGTAAAAGAGGGTTCAGGGAAGGATTTATTTCATTTCACTATATTTAGCTTATAATTTGTTTATATACTAACATTGGTATAACTACAACCTCTGGATCAATGAAACACTAAATTCACACTAAATTAGAAACATCATTGACAGAAGGCAAGATTTCAATAGACAAAATTGTTATGAATCTCTCCACGAATTCAGTCAAAAAGTGTGACAGCTATAATGATGCTTTAGTTACTCTAACTCGTTGAGAAAATCAACATTATCAACAAAGACCTGCAGAAAAGAAAGAAAGAAAAAATTCAAATTATGTGGAAATGTAGTCAGACTACATAAGCTGAACAAAGCCCTCAAACCATTCCCTGCTCAGAATACTAATCTATAAAATGTCCAAGCACAATTAAAAGTTAAACCTTAGAAGCATTAACTCATATAGAGAATTTTTTTTTTTTTTGATCGACAACTTATATAGAGAAGATATAACAGTTGGTAAACTTGCTTTGCAAACTCATCCAATAAAGTTTATTGAGAAAAAAGATTGAGAGTAAAAGATAGGAAGATAGGAACATAAGTAGGTTTCTAACCTCAGAAAAGTAAAAGATAGGACGATGCTTAGCTTAAAATCTTGAAATAAATCATAAGATTTCTCGAATTTAATAATTTACATGGAAAACAAATGACAGTAAAAAATAAATAAATAAAAATATTGAAAATAAAAAGTGAATACTCTTGACTTGTGAGAATGTGTGTGAGAGCTAAGATCATAATAATACTCATGAAGCTCAAAATTAGTGGTTTAGAACCTTACCGATTTCCAACCATCAGGGTCCAAGCAGGCTGTAATCTTGGTGTTGATGCCTGGCAAAGGCCCAGATTCTGTTAATTTCTTAGGGTTTTGTTCTTTTTATTATTGTTTCCTGTGTGTATATTTTGTGCCACTTTGTTTGATTTTGTGGGTATTGATTTTGGGTGAAAGAGGGTTTCATTGATTTTTTTTTCTTACAAAAAATCATAATTTTAATTTTGGGTAAGATTATTCCATTCCTTTCTAAGTTTGCATACAAGGAAGATATTTGAATAATAGACGATTTGTTTTTTTTTTTTTTTTGGTTTTGTCAATTACGAGCATTTACTATAGTTAAATTGGATTTTGACAATTCTAGGATAGTTGTTGCATGGGACTTGTATAAATCCCATGAGCAGAGCTGTTTAGGAAAGGATTCATTTCATTTCACTATTTTTAGCTTATAATTTGTTTATATACTAACATAGTATAACTACAACCTTTGGATCAATGAAACACTAAATCCACACTAAATTAGAAACATCATTGACAGAAGGTGAGATTTCAATAAACAAAATTGTTATGAATCTCTCCACAAATTTAGTCAAAAAGTGTGACAGCTATAATTGTTGCATGGGACTTGTATAAATCCCATGAGCAGAGCTGTTCAGGGAAGGATTCATTTCATTTCACTATTTTTAACTTATAATTTGTTTATATACTAACATTAGTATAACTACAACTTTTGGATCAATGAAACACTAAATTCACACTAAATTAGAAAACATCATTGACAGAAGATGAGATTTCAATAGACAAAATTGTTATGAATTTCTCCACGAATTCAGTCAAAAAGTGTGACAGCTATAATGATGCTTTAGTTACTCTAATTCCTTGAGAAAATCAACATTATCAACAAAGACCTGCTGCACAAAAGAAAGAATTTTTTTTTCAAATTATGTGGAAATGTAGTCTGACTACATAAGCTGAACAAAGCCCTCAAACCATTCCCTGCTCAGAATACTAATCTATAAAATGTCCAAGCACAATTAAAAGTTAAACCTTAGAAGCATTAACTCATATAGAGATTATTATTATTATTATTTTTTTTTTGTGTGGATCAACAACTTATATAGAGATATAACAGTTGGTAAACTTGCTTTGCAAACTTATCCAATAAAGTTTATTGAGAAAAAAGATTGAGAGTAAAAGATAGGAAGATAAGTAGGTTTTGAGCCTCGGAAAAGTAAAAGATAGGAAGGTGCTTAGCTTAAAATCTTGAAATAAATAATAAGATTTCTTGAATTTAATAATTTACATGAAAAACAAATGACAGTAAAAAATAAATAAATAAAAATATTCAAATAAAAAGTGAATTCTCTTGACTTGTGAGAATGTGTGTGAGAGCTGAGATCATAAAAATACTCACGAAGCTCAGAATTAGTGGTTTTAAGTTTGCATACAAGGGAGATATTTGAATAATAGATGATTTGTTTTTTTTTTTGGTTTTGTCCATTATGAGAATTTACTATGGTTAAATTGAATTTTGACAACTCTAGGATAGTTGTTGCATGGGACTTGTATAAATCCCATGAGCAGAGCTGTTCAGGGAAGGATTCATTTCATTTCACTATTTTTAGCTTGTAATTTGTTTATATACTAACATTTGTATAACTACAACCTCTAGATCAATGAAACACTAAATTCACACTAAATTAGAAACACATTGACAGAAGGTGAGATTTCAATAGACAAAATTGTTATGAATCTCTCCACAAATTTAGTTAAAAAGTGTGACAGCTATAATGATGCTTTAGTTACTCTAATTCCTTGAGAAAATCAACATTATCAACAAAGACCTGCACAAAAGAAAGAAAAAAAAATTTCAAATTTTGTGGAAATGTAGTCTGACTACATAAGTTGAACGAAGCCCTCAAACCATTCCCTGCTTAGAATACTAAGTGCAAATAACCTCATCTATAAAATGTCCAAGCACAATTAAAAGTAAAACTTTAAAAGCATTAACTCATATAGAGATTTTTTTTTTGTTTTTTGTTTTTGGATCAACAGCTTATTTAGATATATAACAGTTGGTAAACTTGCTTCGCAAACTCATCCAATAAAGTTTATTGAGAAAAAAGATTGAGAGTAAAAGATAAGAAGATAGGAAGCTAAGTAGGTTTCTATCCTCGGAAAAGTAAAAGATAGCAAGATGCTTAGCTTAAAATCTTGTAGACATCATCAATTCATTGAAATGTTGTGGTTGAAAACAATCTGTCCAAATAGAACCCAAAGCAAAAAAAGAATGATGATGCACAACCCTCCATGATAACTCTTGCTTCAAAATCACATCGACAATCTGTCTAAATAGAACCCAAAGCAAAAAAAGAACCATTTCCATCAACTGTTGATACAAATGTTGCTTCTAATGTTTCAACTGTTGCTGTTGGTACAACTTCTGCTTTTGATATTTCTGCTGAAACAAGTGTACCCTCTACAAAATCTCTCTAGAAAGAACACTACACTATAATATTTTTGTAACAAATTACTACAATGTGACATATTTTTGGTTAGGTGTGGCTCAAGTAGTTTTGTTTGTAAAATATTTTTGTTGTTGCCTGTTCGGAACTACAATGTGCTAGACACAACTCAATATTACTTTCGTAACATATCTTACTGTTTTTGGAAGTAAATTATCCAATATTATTATTGTCAAAATCAAAAAAAATAGCATGTGTGCTCATTTTTTTTTATAGATCACAAAGTTAAAGTTCTTCTTGTATCTCAAAAGCTATTGAACTTTCCACATGTTCATTTTGTGCAGACCTCAAAACATGCTAAGTCCTTCTCAAGCTTTCATATCTGCAGATATATGCAAATAAACAACATGAATGCAAGATGCCCCTCATTGGTTGTCACATTTAATAGTCCATAATGTTTTTCATTTGATTCCATTTCATATTTTCCGTCTATGGTTCATCCATTCATTCAAAAAACCAAATTTATTAACAAAATTATATTATTATCTCCTTTCATTAATGGGCATTTTAATGGACATCAGCTTGCGTGCTTTGCATGCAGCCCCTCACTAGTATTATTAAAATACACAAAATCTAAGGAGAGTTTCATAGTTTAATATAAATTTATGACAATAATGTCATATATTAAGGATATTAGATATTATATTTTTAGAATTTAAGGTTATTTATTAATTTGATATGTTTGTTATTTTTAATGGGGGTTTTTTTTTTTAAGGTCCTTGGTATTAACATTTTATAGCATAAAGGACATCAAATATTTTCATAATGTCTAAGGTCCCTCAAGTTGATCCAGAGAAAATTGGTCCAGAGAAAATTAGTCCAGAGAAAATTGGTCCAGAGAAAATTAGTCCAGAGAAAATTCACATCACAGAGAAATTTGATTCAGAGAAATTCTGAATTTCTCTGGACTTTCCAGAGAAATTTTGATTTGAGAAAGGAAGGGAAAATTAGAAAATTGATTCAGATCTGCCCTCTCTCGAATTTATGCTTTTCACTCGGCGTCCACAAATCTACCTTCTGCAGTTCGGTGAATTGGTGATGAAAGGGTAGGAGTTTCTGCAAGTTCTGTTTTGTTATTCAACTTTGTTCTTCAGCTTCTATTTTGTTCTTCACTTTCTGGATGGGTTGGAGTGTCTTCTGCTTCTGTAAACCAGCACCTCAAGAATGTGTCAATTCTCAAGCAGCCAATAGTTCTTTCTCTAGTTTTGCATTCTATAGAGAGAGCTTTGTGACTTCACTAGCCAAATTCTTCAACTCAACGGCAGTAGCAGAGACCAATTCTTTTGCATAAGAAGCTTCTTAAGACAATTTTTTATTCTGTATATGTAAACCACTGTTCTCCTCTAAAATATGAACATGTTCTAACATTAGTTTCTCATTCTCAATTTCCTACACAGAAACAAAACCATCTATGTAAGGTCCATTATGCAAAAAAAACTATAAAACCCACATCAGTTCATTCCGAAGTCAGAGAATTTGGTTAAAACACATTCCAAAGTCAGAGAAATTCCGAAGTCAGAGAAATTCAAAATTTCTCTAAAGATAAATCTAGAATTTCTCTGGAGAGAAATTCTGAAGTCCAGAGAAATTAAATTTCTCTGGACCAATTTTCTCTGGATTTAATTTCTTAGATATAGCAAGAGATGATGTTAAATTTGTGGATCTTACTTGTCCATCATCAGTACAATTGGTGCCTTCTGCCAAGAAGCATTCACAGACATCTTTCATTAGCTTCACCACAGAGAAACTAGGTTCACTAATTCTATATGTTTTAATATATTTCTCCTCCGCCAATTTCAAAACTGCATCTAAACTTGGAATATGAAAACCAGATTGCTGAGAAGAGTTACAGATCAGGGAAATTTTCATATCATAAACTAAACAAATAAATAACAAAAGGAAAAAATAAAATGAATAATTTGATTTTTTTAAAAGTATACACACAAACTAGTTCTTACAAAATTCTCTAGTTTGGTTGGACTGAATTTTCTCTGGGTTAAACCCAGAGAAATTTGAATTAAAAGTCTAAAACTTCACCTCAAAAAAGCCACTATTGCCATGGATTTCAGTAATGTGAAGAGCATTTTAGCATTAGGATCATCGCAAAAAAAAAAAAAAAAAAACTGACACAAAAAAAAAACAAAGAAAGAAAAAGAAAGAGACTAAAGAACAGGTTCATCATTAACATATAAGATAAGTTCAAAACACAAATGTCAAACTGAAATAAAACAAAAATGATCCATACAGGGCCATCTACTTTACCAAAATATCTCAGAACCTCACAACAAGTTATTTGCTTTTGTAGGCAACCTTCTGAAGAAGTTAAAAGGCGATGAATGGACCTTATCACGAAACCTTGGATGCCTCAAAACATATAATACCAAAAGAACACATAGCCCTTGGATGGGAGTGAACCAAAGCACCACAGCTGCAACCAAACAGGATACCATAAACAGAGCTGTGGCTCTCGGATCGCTGGAATCGGACTCGCCGAGTCGCGGATCCGGGCGGCGCGGAGGTCTGCGACGGTGGCAGAGCGGAGGGAGGGGTTGGAGGAGAAGGTGTTAAGGAAGAGGTCGTAGAGGAGGGTGGAGGAGCAGAGCTTGTTGCCTTGGATCTGGAAGACAATGGATGAGAGGAGAAGAGAGAGAGAGAGAGAGAGAGAGTAGAGTAGAGACAAAAAGTCAAATTTCTCTGATATATGTTTAGGGACCTTAGACATTAAAAAATAATTTTATGGATCTCTTCCCTTATGAAAAGTGAGAGAGGGACCCTAGACTAATTTTCCCTTTTTAATGCATTGAAAGGTAATAAATGAATAAAATATTCAAATAAATATTAAGACTAAACTAATCTTTCACTGAAATCAAACTAACCCGACTCAGACTCCGTTTAGAAAGATGGATTTGGAGCTTTTTTAGTTATTTTAGCCACAAAAAATGACATAGGCTATTTTAATCACAAAAAACAAAACATCACATCCATTCCATAATCATTACACTTTTCTCTTAAAAAAAAAGCTAAAAAGGTCAAAAAGCTCTTCCCAAACTAAACTTTTTAGCCCAGGCTAAAATAGTCAAAAAAGCCAAAAAATCAATCCACTTTCCAAACGAATATAACTCAAGTCAGTTTAGATAACAACTGTGATTTCACCAGACTAACATGAGTTAAGCTTCATTTGGTTTTAAATTTTTGGTTAAAAAAGTACAAAAAAATAAAATTGACTACATAAGTTAATAAGATAAATATCACATTTAAATTATAATTATTACACTTTTTTTTCTTACAAAAATTAAAAAAGTCAAATCAAACGAGGCTAAAAAAATTGAGTTAAAAAAGTCCCAACAAAAAAATCAAACGAAGACTTTAGTCATTCTTTTATAAATCACAACCCCCACCTTCAATCTTAGATAAGGAAAAACAAATAAATAAGTCAACAATAAATGAATACAATAAACAAATTTTAAACATTGTAATAGGACATAAATAAAAACAAATTTATTTAAGTTCAAGGAATAAGATATGCATAATAGAGCCCATAGAAACTTAAATTTAGATACAAAGCAAGTATTTTAAGCTCTCTTCTTTTTCTTCTTCTTCTTCTTCTTCATCTTTTTCTTTTTTTTTATTTGTTGGTAAAGAATGCATTGTCATGGTATTTATATCCACTTGTTTTTTTATCAATCATATGAAGTTGTCTCAATAAGAATAAGATTTTACGTAAAATATATAAAAATTCAAGTTTGGAATTCCTAATTAAGCATAGATCAATCTAACTGAGTTTATTATTTTTAGATTTAGAATCAAATTAATGTATTATCAAAAGCAAAACCAACTCGTAAATGTTTGATTAATATGATCAAAAATGTTTGCGACCTCTGGATGAGGAGTTTTAGATGGAACTCTAAAGGTGGGTCTCACCTTATAATTTGATAATTTGGCTTGTAATGTTGCATTATTTTTATTTTATTTTATTTATTTATTTTTTATGTATTGTCACATCATTAAGATTGATATTAGAACTTCAATTCTAATACCTTGCTTGGTTTCTAGTTTTTTAAAATACTTTTCAGAAAATTATACTCTCTTATTTTTCGTATTTTTTTATTTTTACTGAATTTTTTTAATATTTTAAGTAATTTTTTTACTTTTTAAACACACCTAACATAAATACATCTAAAAAGTAAAAAAATTGTAAAAAAAACTTTTAAAAATTCATTAAATACCAAAAATATAAAAAAAATACAAGAATTCAGTACATTTTTTATATTTTTATGTATTTATTAATTTCTTAAAATATTTTTTCATAAATTTTTTACTTTTTAGATACATCTAAGTAAGGTGCATCTAAAAAAGTAAAAAAAAATGTTTAAAATTTAAAAAATATTTACTAAAAATAAAAGAACACAAAAACCAAAAAAGTCAATTTTCAAAAAACTTAATCCAGAAAACTCAAACCAAACACAGTAAATGTTTTCTATCATCACTCTAATATGATTCTCAAATAACTTTTTATTTCTTATCCACATTAACTCTGAATAAAAAGAAGGATCTCAGCCTAAAAAAAAATAAAATAGAATAAATAAATAAACAAACAAACAAACGGATGAAACATGAAAGGATATGCTCATTCAACGCCACAAAAGAAAAAAACAAAACAAAAAAAACGGCAACAGAGATTAGTTTTTTATTTTCAATTTTTTAAAAACATGTTCTAGTAACAGAAGTGATGTCCCATGAGGCAGAACAAATACAGCCCACCATGCACCAAATTTCTGGTCCATGTTGGACTGCTGGAATGACATTTCCTATGCTAAAAAACTACCCAATATTCAAATTGAGAAAAATAAAAAAATACCCTCCAACTTTTCTTGACCACACACCTGTTTGACCTTCTAGAACTGCCACCTAACCTCTCCCCCTTCCCCATCAAAACCAACACCTCCTCCCTCTCTTCTTCCTATACCTCCTCCTGTCTCCTCTCAACTTCACCTACACCACCCTCCTCCTATGCTCATTTCAACTCTAGGGTATTGTCTCTCATTCTTTCTTGCTTTCCTTGCTTGATTGGGTCTTGTTTTATTCTGGCAATTTCACTTTTTTGGGTACCCAATTGAAGGGTTCTTGATTTTCTTTCTTGTATACACCTCCCTCTCATTTGGGGAAGTTTTGTGTGTTAGGGTCATAAAAAATGCCACCTTTTGCAGATTCAAGGCCTCCATTGAATGAATTACATCAAAACAAGCCAGACCCAAGTTCCAATATTGTCTCCATTGATGTTGGTGGTCAGCTCTTTCAAACCACCAAACAAACGCTAACCCTAGCTGGCCCCAAATCCCTCTTCTCCAAAATTTCCCATTCTTCTGATCATCAATATGCTATACCTTTCATTGACAGAGACCCTGAATTCTTCTCAATCCTTCTCTCTCTTCTCCGAACTGGTCATCTTCCATCAAAAGCCAAAGCTTTCGATCTCGAAGACCTAATCTCCGAAGCCCAATTCTACGGAATCGAAAACCTCCTTCTCAATTCCCACTCAAACCCATCTCAATTCGAAGCTTTCAATCTCGAGAAATCGTTGGTTTTGCCTCTGAACGGTCGTGATTCACCATCGGCGATCTCCACCACACAATTCGGGTCACTGCACGTAGCTCATGGAAGCAAAATCACATCTTTTGATTGGTCTCTGAGAAAAAAATCAACAATTTTGACTCAATTCACGGCCGTTGATTCCCTATTGGCTTTGTCGTCGAAAATCGCAGCCGCTGGTGCCACGGACTATTCTGGGTTACAGGTGATTGATCTTGATAAGGGTTTTGTTAGAGAGACATTGAATTGGGAAAATGTTACTAGGTCTAGTTCAACAGTTCAGGCAATTGGGTCATCCCCACAATACCTTTTCACTAGTTTCGAATCGGGTCGAAGGAATTCGAATTCGATTATGGTTTATGATCTTCAAGATAGTTTTCGACCCGTCACGGAGATTGGTCACTCTGAAATCTTTGGTGCAAATCTTGATTCAGCAATTCCAGCAACAAAATTGAGTTGGGTTTCAAGTCATAATCTGTTAATGGCTTCTGGGTCTCACAGTGGACCCTCTGGAGTATTGGGAAACATCAAGTTTTGGGATATTAGGTCTGGAACTGTAGTCTGGGAATTGAAGGAGAAAGTTGATTGCTTTGCGGATGTCACGGTTTCTGATAATCTTTCAGCAATATTCAAGGTTGGTGTGAATTCAGGGGAGGTGTTCTTCACCGATTTGAGGAATATTGGGAATGCGAATTCTTGGGTTTGTCTTGGTGATGCAAGAAAGGTGATCAATGGGAAGAAGGAGGGCGTTGGGTGTAAGATCGAAAGTCGCGGTAATCAAGTATTTTGCAGCAGAGGAGGAGATTTGGAGCTGTGGTCAGAGGTTCTGATTGGTTCTTCGAGGAAAGGAAGAGATGGGTTGGAGGAGAGGGTGTTCAGAAAGAACTTAATGGGGAGAGTGAAGGATTTGGGAGGAAGTAGGATAACCAGCTTGGGATTTGGAGGGAACAAAATGTTTGTGACGAGGAAGGATCAGCAATCTGTCGAGGTTTGGCAGAGTTCAGTAAGAGGATTTTGATCTCAATTCTTTGTAGTTGGGATTGGTAAATATGATCTTATTTATATTTTTACAGACTAGTAAATTTTCTGTTTTCTAGATTAGTTCTCAATGTGATTCAACTGTAGATACTATTGTTGTTGTTTTTATTATTTTTAATTGCGTATGCTTTGTGTTTTCTCAAGAATCTACAGATTTGTTGCTTAATGTAAGGTATGGAGATGAAATTATTATTATGGAAACGATGTTCGTTCTCTTTTTCTGTGGATAAATTACACTTGGAATCCTTAGTTTGAGCAAACTCTCACTTTGTCCCATAGTTCATTGTTTCAACTTTCAATATATCAACGAATTGAACCTTACTCTTTAAGCGAGTTTCAATGTGGTCCTTCTGGTTGGACCTGTTATCTTTTAGCAGAAAACAATCATGTGCGTTTAGGGCGCAATGTTATCATTTTACCCTATTTCAAAAAGAGACCACAGACTCATCTGATAATCCATCGGCTTCTCCTCCTCTCTTCCTCTGGTTCTCATTCAATGCCGTAGCCATCATCTTTTTTCCCTTTCATTCTCATTTTCTCTTTTTGGCACACTTTCGCTCTTCATCATTTTTCTCTCTAAAGTAAAGCTACCCACTGCCAGCCACCATAAACCACCACCCCCTCAACTTTAGCCAACCGGCTACCTCATTTAGCCAGACCCACTGAAGAGCTTTGCTCAAAGCAGTGAAGCTCCATCAATCCACCATAGATATGTTATATATATATATATTTCAGAATAGAGAAAGCAAAAAAAAGAAATGGCATTTTCCTCCAATCTTGTGCTTTTCCAAAGCATGCATTGCAGGAGCTACATTGGCCAAATTCCAAACTCCAATTGAAGAAAAATTCAAAACCTTTGTACCCAATACAATTCTTTGTCAAAACAGTAAAAATAGAGATACCAACTTCTATGAGATCATGATTGCCATTACCATTCTCTCTCTCTCTCTCTCTCTCTCTCTCGTTAGAGTTGTTGAAGAAGAAAAGACAAAGCAGACTCCTTGTACTCCACTTTTTTTAACGTCCTCTTTTCATCAATGATATTTCTTTTGTTGCCGACCCAAAAAAAAAAAAGGCAGAGCAGAGCAAATAGTCAAAAGAAGCAGCCATTTGGGGCCTTTACACAGCAGCAGGAAATGCTATACCCAACTCTTTTTGGCAGTGAAATTTTACAATATATTGAAATTTTAACTCATTGAAAATGGAACATATATGAATATGTGTTCCAATAAGCATTCTGACTGGCAATTATGTAGAGCAGTAGCGGAGGAAGTGTTCCAGATGTGTGTACACTACTCCCAATTACCTGTCTGAAACATTGCTGCTTTCATTAAGCATACCAATTTTGTAGTTCATGGACTCTATTGCATTCAGACTTCTTCTCATGGTTTATGATTCGTCAGTTGACACTATACATGTATTTTTCCAGCTTCAACTTTCTTTGTCTTTTATAAACTGTCGATTCAACTTTCCTTGAATTACGTAGTTTGTTGCTAACTTTGGACCGCATGAAGTTTTCAATTGTTTTACTTATTTATTTAGATTTACCAAGTTTCCACATTATTCATCCAATTCTTGAGCAATAGTAGATTTAATTGAGGGGGAAGAAAGAAGAAAGGTAACACAATCAAACTTTAAATTCGTCGTTCTTTTCTTTTCCTTCCTTGCTACCACATCACTTGAAATTTAGATTCTTCTCTGTGAGGTCTGGCTTGAACTAGTTGTTTTTGGTGATATGTTGAATGAAGTTCAACATTCCTCAAAAAAAATATTAGATATGTAATCCCAGTATTACGTGTGTAGGTTCTTTACAGATAGTCTCTCATTACTGTGTTCATAATGGTTTATCATATCAGCTTAAATTTGATACTGGAGAGTTGATATGTATTTATGTATGCATATACAAAGCACAAATATATGAGAGAATGGGAGGGGAAGAGAGACAGTTGAGTGGTGACTGGGAGAGGCTTTCTCTTCCAAGTGATTCTAGGAGGAGAAATTGAGATAATCTGAGAGAAGGAACGAGGAAAAATGAATAAATTGCCCTCCTAAAAAGCTCAACTAGGGTGCAAGTGTTAGGTAAAATATGGTGATTTTTCACAAGTAAATCAATCAATAGGAATAAAAACTAATGCGGAAAAATTAAATCAAAGGTAACACAAGAATTTTTACGTGGTTCCCTCAATGTGAGGTACGTCCACGGGATCGAAATCCGATTCCACTATCAACCAAATATGTTCCAAACGATTACAAACGAGACACTAATTGTCTCACAAAACCATCTTTAGGTGAATTCTAAATAATCACAAATAAACAAGAGGAAAGACCTCACCAAATAGATGAACCAAAATCTTCAGACTAGAGTTGTAGAAGACCCAAAATAACGACCCAAATCAAACGCACAATGGGTGCCGAAACCAATCCACTGACTTGAACTCAAGCACTGTGACTCCGAACCAAAAAAATCACCAAAGATGGATTAATTGGCACGAACCCCAAAAACGTTATAGCAGCTGCACTTTTCTCTTGGGGAAAAACAATACACCAACAAGAAAATTATGTTGTGAATCTAGGGTTTTGTAATCAAACCCTAATTGTTTCCAAATTGGATTGGGTCTCCTCAAATATAATATATAAAAATATATTATAATTAATACTAAACCAAATTAAACTCTTTTTCCAAAATCAATTGGGTCCCATACTCCAATAAGGAGGTATACCCAACAATTCTCCCCCTACCTAGATTTACCAAGACATCAACCATACCCGCCAAAGTTCGACACTTCAAATGTTTGTCCCTCGACAAAGTCTTTGTCAACATATCTGAAATATTATCATCCGTGTAAACCTTTTCGAGTTGCAACAATTTCGAATCTAACACATCACGAATCCAATGGTATCTCACATCAATGTGTTTTCGATCTCGAAGAAAAGTAAATTTTTGCTCAAGTGATAGCACTTTGACTATCACAAAAAAGTACATACTTTTCTTACTTCAAACACAACTCTTGCAAAAATTTCTTCAACTATAACTCTTCTTTGCAAGCTTCCGTAATAACAATATTCAGCTTTGGTAGTTGAGAGAGAGCAACACAGATTCTTGTAATTTAAGATTGGTATAGACCACACGCTTCGCCCTCGCAAGTCATCAAATACCCCGAAGTAGATTTCCTAGAATCAACATCACCAGCCATGTCAGAATCTGTGAACCCATCAAGTATTGGCTTACCATACCCAAAACACAAACACATTTTCGAAGTCCCTCGAATATATCTTAAAATCCATTTTACCGCTGCCCAATGTTCTTTACCCGGATTAGAGAGAAACCGACTCACCACACCAACGACGTGAGCAATATCCGGCCTTGTACAAACCATGGCGTACATCAAAGAACCAACTGCTGAAGCATAAGGAACTTTCAACATCTCTTCTTTGTCTTTCTCACTTATAGGACATTGATTCGAACTAAGCTTGAAGTGACCCGCAAGTGGACAACCAACCGACTTTACTTTATCCATATTGAACCTCTCAAGAACTTTCTCAATATAGCTTTATTGAGACAACCAAATCAGTCCCTTTTTGCGATCACGAACAATTTTCATACCAATAATTTGCTTTGCTGGCCCCAAATCTTTCATAGCAAAAGATTTACTCAATTATAACTTCAACTTGTTAATCATGGTAGAATCTTGACCCACAATTAACATGTCATCAATATAGAGCAAAAGAATAATAAATTTACCATCCGGAAATTTTTTCACAAACACACAATGGTCTGAAGTGATTTTAGAAAAACCATTATTCATCATGAAAGAGTCAAATTTTTTGTACCATTGCCGCGGGGCTTGCTTGAGGCCATACAAACTTTTCTTCAATCTAGAAACAAATTTCTCTCCCTTTTCCTACAAAACTTCTCGGTTGCTCCCCATATAAATTTCTTCTTCAAGATCACCATGAAGAAATGCGGTCTTCACATCAAGTTGCTCAACTTCAAGGTTCATACTTGCAGCCATGCCAAGTACAACCCGAATAGAAGACATCTTCACAACCGGTGAGAAAATCTCATCAAAGTCAATGCCTTTCTTTTGCCCAAAGTCTTTCACAACAAGACGTGTTTTATACCTCAGATTCTTGCCATCATTCTTCAATTTGAAAACCCACTTATTTTTCAAAATTTCCTCCCCTTAGGCAACTTCACTAAATCATAAGTGTGATTTTCATGCAAGGAATTCAATTCCTCTTCCATTGCCTTTTTCCAATCATCTTTCTTTGCATGCTCAATTGCTTCTTGGTAGCTCTCCGGCTCCCCTTGATCAGAAATCAACACAAATTCATTAGGAGGATACTTTCTTGAAGGTTGTCGGTCCCTTGTAGATTTTCTTAACTCAAGTTGTGGTGGCGGTTCTTGAGTTGGATGCTCTTCCTTAATTTCTGGCTCAACTTCATCAGGATTAACATCATCCTCCACTTCTTCAATAGGTGGCTGCACATCTTCCCCATTTTCATCATCCACCGAAGATGAAGGAGATGGATCCATGTCAATGAGATCACTAGTTTTTGGTTTCGGTTGATCACCTTTGCCAAAGTCTTCAATTGTTTGGTCTTCAAGAAACACAACATCACGGTTTCGAATGACTTTCTTGTCGACCGGATCCCACAATCTATACCCAAATTCATCACGCCCATAACCAAGAAAAATATATTGTTTTGACTTACTATCAAGCTTGGACCTCTCATCTTTTGGAATGTGAACAAAAGCTCGGCAACCAAACACTCTCAAGTGCTCATAAATCACATCTTTACCGGTCCAAACTCTTTCTGGAACATCACCATTCAAAGGATAGGAAGGTGACAAATTGATCACGTCAACCGCTGTCTTCAATGCCTCACCCCAAAAGGATCTTGGCAATTTAGCTTGTGAAAGCAAACACCTTGTTCTTTCCACAATGGTGCGGTTCATCCTCTCGGCAACTCCATTTTGTTGAGGAGTCTTCTTAACTGTCTTTTGATGCCGAATACCTTGGCTGCGACAATACTCATCAAATGGCCCAATGTATTCACTACCATTGTCTAATCGGATGCACTTCAATTTCTGCCTTGTTTCTCTTTCAACCATGGCCTGAAAATACTTAAATACTTCTAGAACTTGACCTTTAGTTTTTAGTAGAAAAGCCCAAACTTTCCTTGACTAATCATCAATGAAAGTAACAAAATAAAGTGCACCACTATGT